ATAAAAAAAAAAAAAAAAAAAAAAAAAAAAAAAAAGCCCTCTAACTTCCCGTGATAAGCTATCGAGTCTAAATTTAATGTCCTATCCAAAGAATAGCTATTCAATAAAGCATTCATTAATTTATTAACAGAAACTATGAATATAGGCAAGCCTTGCTTCCAGATTCAGGTTGTACACGACTGGAGGGGAACAGGATGTTCATATATCCCCTGACTGCTTTGCTTTGTTTTGCAGGATAGTTCTGGGATGAGACTGTGGAAGAGGAGGTGGTTTGTGCTTGCTGATTACTGCTTGTTTTACTATAAAGGTGAGCTTGAGGCTCAAGTCACCAAGGGCTCTGTGCAAGAGGGTGGTGAGGGGATGGAAATAATGATCTCTTAAATCCAGTAGTTAGACCAGTTGCCTGAGTTAATTAGAAACCCGTTACTTTGTCAACTGTTTACTTTTGTTTATGTCGATTGTTGGTAACTCCAGTTTTACCAATCTTGACACCTTAAGGTGAAATTAACAAGTTCAAGTTGAGTAGAATCCACTTTCCCCTATTACTTAGGCCAAAGTCCTTAGGCCATTCTATTAGAGAGACTGAGGAGTAAATTCTCCGCTGGAGAATCTAAGTCTTCTTACAAGAGATAGGATTTCACTTGGACTTTTAAGGATGGGTACAGGTTTGCCTGTGTCAAAGGAGATGGGCATTACAAAGAAAAGACACAACTTGAGGAAAGTCCTAGATGCAGAAGAAGGTAGAATGACAGACCTGTATGGCCAGGTGAATCTTATATGGAGAACATGCTAAGACCAGAAGGTTGTCACGGATAGGCAGGGTCAATTTGGGCTTTGTTTTTTGTCCAGTAGGGAATCAAGTGCCTTTGAGTTGGAAAGCAACAAGACCAACCCTATCACTAGGAAGTAAGAGACCACTGGGTATGGAGGAGATTTGAAAGAATGGAAGAATAGAAGGATTGTTCACATATGCTTGTAGCTTTGTCTGAGAGTTTCTCTTTACCTAGAATACTCGTTCCCATCCTTGAAAACACATGAAACACCTTTTAAAACCTTCCCCAGACCATGTGCCCCATTTACACTTGGCACACTACCCTCTCTCAAGAGTTAACAAGTTGTGTTGAGTGTGTTCATATACCTCTCTCCATTCACAAGCTCTCAAGGAGGGCACCATGTCCAGTTCACCTGTGTGTTCAGCATTTGTTAGCACATCCACACACGGAGCACCTACATGACCTGGGAAAAGGAGATAACTGTAGTCCTCGGGAAACAGAAGGAGCCCTGAATAGCATGCCCTGGAAAGGTGCCTTGAAGGTTGTTCTGATGTGTTTTTCCATTCAAAGACAGCCGAGAAGAAGTGGTCCTGGGAAGCATCCCTCTGCCCAGCTATGTGATCTCACCTGTGGCCCCTGAAGACCGCATAAGTCGCAAGTACTCTTTTAAGGTACTGCCCTTCTCTAATGAGCAGTTCCATCATAACAACTATGCTTGTTGCTTTTTTGGGGAGGGGAAGGAGGTTCAGAAGCTAGAGAATTTCAGGCTCAGGTTAAATAAATTATTTAGACAAGAATAATATGCTGGGGTTGGGGAATTAGCTCAGTGACGCTTCACCTGCCTGGCAAGTGCAAGGTCCTGAGTTCAATCCCTGGCACCAGGAAGAAAAAATAATAATAATATCATGTCATTTGTACTTCTGTGTGAAGCTGAGCTTTCAAGTCACCTTGTCTTATTGAAGTTTTTAGACCATTTTTCCCTATGACTGCTCATCTTGGAATTACATGTCTGACACAGCTCTTTTCATGCTTTCCGTAGTGAGTCCAGGTGGTGCAGCTGATGATCCCACAGCATATTTGTCCGTTATATTATATTATGAAAACTCACTTTGAGAAGTGAGGGGCTGCATGTTGAAGAGTTGGTCAGGTTTGTCTACTTTGTTTATTTTGCTGAAAAGAAATTAGAATGAAATTACTTTACTTTCTGGACTATTGAAATTCCCCAGGCAGTGGAGTCCCTTTTCTACTTTGTTGCTGTGCCATTTGGAGGGAGTGAGGCCATGGTCATTTGAAGGCCATGGGTCCTTCTATGCTCTCTGGCACCTATGTGGAGGTCATGGGAAGGTAGTTAGGCCTGCATTTGAGGAGTCCCAAGGCCTTGCTTTCTCCATTGGTTGCCTCCCAGATTCCTTAACTGCAAATGAGTCTTGGACCCCCCCGCTAAAAATGGTGCAAATGTGACAGACTGAAGATTCGCTTTCTTAGCAGTTGAGACATAAGTCTCAGAGAGCGCTACAGCAGGTGACCTTTGATTCCACTAGCCCAAGGGCATAGCCTTCTGAGGCTACTTAGAGTACAAGTGGTGTGGTGCACTTCCGGTTGGGTAGGAGCTCCTGCCCTTGCTCACTTGTCACTTAACTGTCCCATGTTGGGGTACAAGATGAGCACTAGACAGTAGGTACTTCGGCAGAGACTGCGCAGAACTCATCTCTTCCAGAAATAGATAGGGGGCTGGGGATTTGGCTCAGTGGTTCCGCTGCCTGCTTCGCAAGTGCCAAAGTTTCAAGTTCAATCCTGGGTACCAGAACAAAACAGAAATAGATAAAGGATCTTGGAAAAGAAACCTACTCTTCTTTAGAAGGGTTGAAGGAGAGTGTTAGCACATGGTGACCATGGTGTTAGCAGTTGGTCCTCAGTCTGTGGAGGCTTTTGCAAATTGATCATTTGTACTAGCATCTTGATCTGGAGTCTGTGGTAGTGGTGCTTGGAAAGTTAGCTTCTCTCCCTGCTCCCTTTCCTTCCCAAGGGAGCACAGAACCAGGTGATGCTTCTGCTTTGCTCCTCCATAGGTTTGAGCTGTCCCTTTCTTCTTCCTAGACACCACCAAGTGTCCTGTTGCATAGAACAGTATTGCCTTCTATTTGTAAAACCAAGCACTTTTACACCTGTTACCACCTTTAATGCTCTCAGGAGCCTATGAAGTGTGTTAGTTACTTTTCTCTTGTTGACTTATAAAGTCAAAGGTGGAAAGGTTTATTTAGCTCACAGTTTCAGTCCATAATCGCTGGCTCCAAGGCAGGGGTGTCAAACAGAAGAGAAACAATATGGTGCACACAAAGTAGCAAAAGTAATAAGGGACTTTAATAGTATCCTTCTACCCTTTTATCCCATCCAGACTACCAGGATTAGGGCAGTGCCAAACCAGTCACTCTCCTAGCAGTTTTATAATCACACACTCCCTTAATCCCAGCATCACATGATCCAGATTCAGCCACGTTTGGAAAAGAAGGCATGAGGCTTTGGGGCAACATCTAGACACAAGCCACAACAGAAGTCCTTATTATTGGCTTCATTTTAGAGAGTAAGGAAACAAGATTCTGAGAGTTTAGGAAACATCCCAAGTCACAAAGCTGGAAGGTGATAGAGGCCGAACTCAGCCCTGAATTCTGCCCTCTCAATTTTATTTCAGGGAGAGGGGACAACTTCTCTTCCTTTTTACTTTTTTCTTTATGTCTTATCTTGATCATTTCCTGAATGCTACATGAAACTGAGGTGTTTTGAATGAACATTTACTGTATCATTTAAGAACCCTCTTCTATTCTATAGCTCAGAAGCCTCACTAAAATTATTTTTGTTCAGTGGTTTTCAGACTTGGCTTTTGCCAAGCCTGAAAGTATTACTCAAAATACACCCCCGCCCCAAGGTTTGAGCATTTCTATTGAGCAAACAATTTGGCTAACAATGTTGCATGTAATTGAAGGGGACAGCATCTGGAATATCCTCAAAGTAACTTGTATCTATATATATTTCATCTTAACACTTCATTGGGAAGTGTGAAAATGCATTCTAAGAAAACATCTTTTATGCATCTTAGATTCACACCACCTTCCAAGTTTTCCTTAGGAAGACTTCACCAAGAATGTAAGCTGACTCTTGTCTATATAGAAGGCATCATGTGTTTGAGGTCCTCAAGTTCTGAGAGCAGAGACAGCTCTGCAGACATCTTCAAGGCTCTGGAGATCCAGCCTTTCCTAGCCTCACTTCATACTGCCGCCCCTGTTTGTCTTTGCCAGTCACACTGGTCCCATCCTGGAGGAGGAGAGAATATTGTGCTCTTATCCTTCGTGGGATCTCAGCATCACCTCCCTGCTATTCCTAGGGTAGTGCTTATTGTGTCAAGTCAGCTGGAGTGTGGGTTCTTTGGGTCAGTCTTCTCCAAGTCAGGCCGTGTTTTCCTTCCCTCTTTTGTAGCAGCCTGTGCCTCTCAATAACGCTTTCTACAGTTGTAATTACCTGTCATGAGTTTTCATCTACTTGGCTGTAATTGTAATGGCCTTTTGTAAGACTGTCCCTCCAACTTGTAATACTGAGTGTTCCACCTGGTAAACACTCAATAAATGGTAAATTATTGTAGAATGAGTAAGCTCAAGGGTGTATAATACCAGGTTTCATGGCACATGTCTCTAATCCCAGTGCTTGGGAGGATGAGGTAAGAGGATTGCCACGAATTTGAGAGCACCTGGACTGCATGGTGAGTTCAAAGTAGCTTGAACCATATAGCAAGATCTTGTCTTAATAAAGAAAAACCCACATCAGTCTTTTGGTGGCCCTGGCCTTGTGGGTGTCCCTGTATTTCTCACCTGACCTAAAGTCTGACCTTGGGGGCTTGAGGTGGGAGGATTCTGGTTCCTTTTATCAGGACCATGTCCAGACCCAATGTCTAAAAGCTAGCAAAGCAGTCATCCTAGGAGCACTGTGTTTTTGAGGTAAATGCTTTCTTGCTCACACTGTTTCCTTAAGGTGTAGCCTGGTTTCTATTCAGTTATGTAAAGTTGTCTAGTGGGATTGTTTTAACTGAGAAGCAAAGAGTAGAAAGGAAGGAACCATCTCCAAGGTGAGACTAGGGCAGGGATGAAAAGACTTCATGTCACCTAGGCCCTCACATCTTTCTTTCTCATACTTGGGGCACTTTTGACCTTGGCTAGATGGAAAGGGAGCTCCCTGGATTTCCTATCTTCACAGTTAACACATCTGCCTCAGCACAGTCAAAATGCAGCTGTGAACCTGGTCTTCAGAGTCCAGAGCAGCTGGGTGCATACCTGTTAGTGGGTGGGACAGCAAACAGAGTTTCAGTTGCAATCGTGTGTGACTCCTCTATGATGGTGGCTGCAGTTCCCAAGGCCTATTTGCAGACAGCCGTGCAGACTCATGTCTTTATGCTTGAAGTGTGTCCTGAGCTGATTTCTGGACAAGACTGACTCCATGAATTCTTATACCTCAGGGACCTTCTCTATCCAGTGTGCATGTTCAGACTGTCTTTGGCTGGGCAGGAAAGGCTGGGAGGGTATTTTCCAAGATCTTATGAGGACATCACCTAGGGGACTTTTCCAAAAGTTTCTGTTGATTCATAGTAAAACATGCACAAGTTTTTTTTCTCCTTCTCTTCTTTTTGCAGCATCAATAAGATGCTGCACCTTGCTAAAATAGGAGTAGTTCTGGGACTAATGTCAGTATATGAGGTGTGTAAAGGAAGGATATGAGATTTCTTTGGGCCACTCTAGGGACCTTGGCTAGAGGCCAAGTTTGCCTGGACTCCTTTGTCCCTCAACTAGATGGACTCAGACATGTGGATGTCAGAAGTAGGACCATATTTAATAGGCTCCTAGAACTGGATGCTAGAAGTAGAGGGAGAAGTGAATGCTGAAGGTTCACCTCAGACATTTTCTTTCAGCCATTCTAAAAGCAGGTCATTTTCCAGATTTTAATTGGTTCTCATTTTGTTTTCTCTGATGGTCTTTGTTGGGGTCTGCCTTTTATTATAGATCCAGATTAGAGGATCAGTGACCTGTTTGTCTGCGTTTCTAGAGGGAACCTACAAGCATTGTTCAGAGAAGCCTGGACTTGGAGTCAAACCTGAACTCTAGTTTTTCATTCATTCAATAAATATTTATGGGGTGCCTACTACGTACCATGAACTATTGCTGGGGAACAAGATAGAAGAGGTTCCTGCTCTTATGAAACTTCTATTTCAGAGGGAGAAGAAAGATGATTGATGAACAGGAGATAAGCAACTACATAAAATACATAGTATCAGTTAGTAATGAATGCTAGAATCTCTTACTGTATGTGAGTATCTTGAAAGTAACTTTGTATCTCAGAGCCTCATTAGCCACATCTATAAAACAGAAATTCTGTCCCTACCTTCTTTTAAGGCTGTTGGCATTAAAATGAGATTCAGGTCTGGGTGTAGTACCCCGGAGATACACTCAAGTATTATAGGCACCCAGTAAATTGTCCTATTTCTATACTACCTTCCTATGTAGCTTGAGTGAACTCTTTTCTTACAAATTTAAAGACGGGGGAAAACTCGTGCTACTTCTGCTTTGGAAGCCATCTCAGTCACTTTTCATGGTCATCCCCAGAGCCCCTCCTTGAAGTACTTTGCAGGGACACGTGAACATGCACATTGAAGCAGAGGCACGTAGTAAGTTTTTCAGAATGTTTAATCAAGTGTTGGTCAGCTCTACCCTACTCGCTAGTTTCTTGTTTTAGAGAGACAGTACAGCAGCATCTTTGATGGACACACATTGCATTTTTGTGCCAGGTAGTTGAAGCAACATGAATACTTACACCGAGCCACATGCCGTTGCAGTGGATTTTAACTCATTATTTTAGCCAAAGAAGGAATTGTGTGCATCAGAAGAACCAAAACAGGAAGCCCCAAGAGTCTGCTTCTATAGCATGAGAGTATTTAAACTAATACTCTATTCTGCTGGGGCTGTAGCCCAGTGGTTCAGTGTTTGCCTAGCATGCAAACGTGGATCATGGGTTTGATCCTCGACCACACACACACACACACACACACACACACACACACTCTCTCTCTCTCTCTCTCTCTCTCTCTCTCTCTCTCTCTCTCTCTCTCTCTCACGCACACACACGCACACACACAAGTCTGTTTCCTATCAAGGCCTTACCTCTGTACCATGCCCTAGGCAAGAGTAAGACAAATGGAACAGGTACAGTTGCAAGGCTTTGCTTGGGCGGGGAACAGACACAGCTGTCACTGGGCCTGGCTGTAGGAAAATGGAATCCAGCTGATAGTGCTTTTTGGATATGGAGATAAGCTGACTGGTATTGGGGTTTTAGTCTGTCGGGGGAGAGCATGAACGGTGTGCCTTTTTGTTTATGTTCCCAGAAGGGAAACATGCTGACCTCTCTGTCTTGGCTTTCTATCTCCACACTTAAAGGCTGTGCACACGGGGATGCGAGCGCTCATCTACAACAGCTCCACGGCGGGCTCCCAGGCCGAGCAGTCAGGCATGAGGACCTATTTCTTCAGTGCCGACACCCTGGAGGACATGAATGCTTGGGTGAGGGCCATGAACCAGGCTGCACAGGTGCTGTCTCGATCTTCACTGAAGAGGTCAGTCCTACTGGAGGGTCCCAGATGAAATCCTCTGGTATCTGGCCTTCCACCATTTACTCACTGCTAGTAAGCATTGCCTTTCTTTGTAGCCCTTTTTAATTAGGAGCGCTTCCAGCAGGAAAATGCAGAACTGACTGACTAGTGCTGTCTTCCCCAGCTGGAAGCCCTGATAGATGCTATCTAGTCCTCTTTCTTCACAAATACTGTGCAGGATACACAGTCATAGAAGCTGGTGTATGCGTATGTTTTTTTTTTTCTCTTGGGTAGAAGGAATAGACAATGTTGGGACAGGAGAGAGTGTGGCAAGGAAGGAAAGATGCTATAGCTGTCTCCCATGTCCTGGGGGCTGTGAGAGTCCTGAGTCTGTTGATTATAGATGACTGCCTAGAAAATCCCAAGCAGAAATATGAATGAGATTGAGGGGTTCAGAGAGAGCAGAGGATCAGTCAGAAAGTCAGAGTATGCATTTAGCTGTCATGGACTTCATTTGTCCCTATCTGGATTCCTTGCTGTGGATAAAGGCTGCTTTAATAGTGTTCCGTCAACAAGGCCTCAAAACTAAGGGCCCATTTTCCAGCAACCTAAGGATGCAATGCTTCACCGAATGGTTCTGGATTTCATGTGATATAGTTTACTTTGTTGACCTTTTCCAACTCCTATTTTTGTAACTTTTGGTATCGTAGTTCTTCCTAGCCTCAGGCTCCCTTTCCTGAGGCAGACAAATCATTGCTATAGAAAATGACCACCTTCAACAGGTAGGTTCAGGGCCTACTTCTAGATCTTCCATAGGACCTCAATCCAAGCACCCGGCCCTACCCCTTCCATCAGTTTTTCAGTGTCCTAGGCTTCACACAGGACTCAGCATAGGTTTTCCTGTACAACATCTAACACACAGTAAACTCTCAAATGATTGTTCCACAAGTGAATGAGAGACTGGAAGAATGAATACATAGATATTTTGAACAAGACAAGACCAAAGACTGCCCGATCAATCTCCCCATCAGCCCTTAGTAACTTTTTTGGTACCAGGAATCAAACTCAGGACCTTGTGCTTGTGAGGCACAGTGCCACTGAGCTAAATCCCTGGGCTACTCAGTAACTCTACTCTTACTTGTGGGTGTTCAGTGAGTTTTGACTCTGACTCATACCAGGTTGTAATCCAGCCTGAATTTTTCTGTCACTTCCATGGTGACCTAAAAGCCTCTCTTCATAGCCTTCTGGTATCTGTTTACAGTGTCACTGTATTTTGTTGGTCATCCGAGGAGGAGAAAACTGAGTAGTTTTGACAGGCTTTCTTAGAGCACATGCTGTTTTCTAGTGCTATTTTCCAGTTTTCACTTGCATTTGAATGAATGAATAATACAGTAAATGAAGATATCCTTAATGTAAAATAGTTGCTTATGTCTTGTGTTAGCTTTTCATCACTGTGACAAAATAACTGAGAAAAGCACTTTAAAGAAGTAAAGACTTATTTTGGCTCATGATTTCAGAGGTTTCACTCCATTGTCAGTTGGTTCTGTCACTTGATGAGACAGAAACATCATGACAAAAGGGCATGGTGGAGCAAAGCTGCTTACCTCATGGCACCCAGGAAACAGAGACAGACAGTGAGGAAGGAATTAGGGGCAAGATATAACTCTTCAAAGGTGTGCTCACAGTGGCCTGCTTCCTCCAACTGTACCACACTCCTGAAACTCACTTTCGTACTAGTTTATCAATGGTTTAGTCTGCTGATGAGGTTATTGTCCTCATAATCCAGTCGCCTCTCTGGGCCCCCACCTCTGAACATTGCTACATTGGGAATTGAGCCCTTAAAGCTGAGTCTTTGAGGAACACTTAATATTTAAGCCATAATATATCTCAACTTTGCTCAGCTCATTGTAGCTGCTAAGGTACTATGTAAAAGAGAATGTGAGAGTGACATTGGCCTTAACAGGAAAGGATGCTATGATTAATAAATGATATCTTCCTAGAACTCTTGAGGATTAATTTGCTAGCCGGTATTTGGATTTTTTAAGTTTTCTATTCACATGAAGAATTTTTAATTAGCTATCATAATTTTAGTTCTGGAAAGGATCACTTCCCTTTAAGGTCTTAAGCTATTGCATTTTCCCTAACTTTTCTTTGAATTTTTTGAAACTTATTCATATTTTGCTCTTAATAAACTCTTAAAATCCTATGATCATGTTTGCCCAAGTTTCCTTCCCTTTCAAAAGAAAGCTTCCTTCTGATGAGAATAAAAACATAATAGCATTTCCCCCTAACTTCTTCAGAGATGAAATTGTCAGCCAAGCAACTACACTTGTGTTCTGTATTTTATAGAATAAGATGTTCAGACATTTGGTAAGTTAAAATGTGTTATCAGGCAGGACTCTTTCCTTTCCTCCAGTCTGATGATGTGCGTTGGAAACTCCCTCCCTGTAAGTGGGCAGCCTCAGCCGTAGCTTTCATCCTCTCCCTCTTTGTCTCTCACCCTGATCCTTCTGTCCTCATTCATATAAGCAGATGCTGTCTTTATGAGTGATGGTAAATACCAGCATTTTGTTATTTCCTTTTTTTTTTTTTGAGACAGGGTCTCACTATGTCATTCATGCTGAACTCACTATGTGACTGAGGCTAGCCTTCGACTTGTGACGAACTTCATGTCTCAGCCTCCCAAGTGCTGGGATTACAGGTGTACACTATCATACCTAGCCAAATATCAATATTCTTTTTTTTCCCCTCAATACCAGGGATCGAACTCAGGACTTTGTGCTTGCCAGGCAGGTGCAGTGCCACTGAGCCAAATCCCTGGCCCTCATTATTCTTCATTGAAGATGACAGGAAACACTGACATATTTACCTTAAAGTGGGAAATTTTATTGGTTCAAGCCACTAAAAAGTTCTAGATGGATCTGGCTTTAGAGCAGCTGAGTTTAGGGCTCCAACAGTGTCTTCTTAAGTTATTCTCTCAGGCTCTGGCCCCTGCCCACCTTAGGGTGGAATCAGTCTTAAACTCCATAGGGATGTTCCTGGCACATTCTGGGATCTGGTGATGAGATAGCTGCAGCAACCCCAGACTAGTGCCATAAGAAAGACCCAGAAGCTCCTGATCACATTTATGTCCCACACTATCTGCTGTGGCCAGGGAGTGCACCGTGCTGATTGGCACAGGCTTACTGGCACACGCTTCACTCCTAGCACAGGGTAGTGACCCACCCAGGCCATAGGGACTGAGAGTGAAGTTGGGGTAGGTTCCCAAGGAACAGCTGTGGCTATGGCAGAAGACCCAGCAGTGACTTGTTGTGTGAGGGTTTTAAAGGAGCACCAACAACCAGTGGCTCATTGGGCCGATTGTCCCCTCAATCCTATTGTGTGTTCCATTTGCCCTAATAAGTATCTCCTCCCAGAGCTTAGTCTCTGAAGTTAGACCAGAATCAAGTCCTAGCTCTATTGCTTTCTAGCTATGTCATACCAATGATGTGTGCTTTTTAAACCTCAGTTTTTCTTACTTCAGAGGATTATTACAAAGACTAAATGAATGTATAAGGTTCTTATTTAGCATGATGCTTGAGACATAGTAGATGCCCAGTATCAGATGTGTTAGCTTCTAGGGTGTTTTAGCTTCATAATATTTTTGGCCCTTTTTCTTTACACCTCTCCAATTTCATCATTAATCCTCTGGATCTCATTGATCATGAGTATCCCTTGAGCACTTGCACCTTTCCCTTGCCGAGCTTGCTTATCCCCTAGCAATGTGAGCTGTGGTTCAGTGGCCCAGGCTTTCCACAGCACCACTCCTCAGCCTACAGCCTGCTCTTCAGCTCATATCTCCTCCAGCTTCTTCCTACTAAATTCCTTGGACTGGAGAAGGGCTAGGAACCCTCTCTGCACCTCCTGCCTTGTCTTTGTTTTCTGCACAGGCTTTTCAGTCCTATGATAGAGACCCTACTCCACCCCATGTGCTGTAAGGGGTGATGAGCCTACTCTCTACCTTCTTCTGTCCATCATTGCTTTTCCCTGATATCTGTGTTCTGCCTCTTGCCAGACTCGGACTCTGTTTGGATTTCCAACAGGCTAACTTAGCTGAGGATGTCTTGTTCTCGCTCACCAACCAAACAAGCCAAGCAGTCCTGTTTGTATTCAGCATCTCAAAACTGTTAACTCAGACAGGAACGCATCTAAGAAGATAACTCTTTTCTCAGTTTCCAGGCCTTTCTGGTGGTACTGAAATCCTGTCTTGGGGCTGGAGGAATGAATAGTCTAGTCATCTTCAGAGTAAAATCTAGTTTTATTGGCAGTGCTTTTGAATCCTTGCATGGGCCTTGTTCCTATACATGCTTGATACAACTCTTAGCATTCCCCATTTGCTACCCCAGGCATTCTAAACTTTTCATTTTGTGAACTGATGCGTTTGTTCATGCAGTCAGTCATATAGTCTTTTTTTTCTACAAGCATTTATGGAGAGCACATAGTGGATTATACATTACTGAAGATATTGAAAATACAGTAGTGTTCAAAGAGAGAGGCAAGGTTCCGTTCAGCTTTTATGAGGGTAGAGGGTCAGACAAACAGTAAATCAGAAAAACAGTTTTTATCAGGATCTGTGCATGAAGACAATAAAACAGGTGATGGGCTCTTGTGAGGCTGGGGGACAAGGAGTAGCCACTTTAGTTTGAGTAATGGGGGAAGGCCTCTGTAAGTGGGTGATGTGAATTTGAGGCGTAATTATCACAAGAAGGTTAGGTATTCCCAACTCCAGCACATCGTTTAGATCTTGGTCTATGTTTATCTTATATCCTCCTTCCCTGACCTCAGGGTAGTAAATAACCTTCCTTAATACCCTGTCATTACTTAATAATTTTTCATTGCTACCTTTACCAGACTATGAGTTCTTTGAAAATGGTAAGTCCATTTATCAGTACTGGGTAAATAGTGAGTGTTCAGTTAATAGATAAGTACGTGGGTGTTCTGTCTGGCTGTGCATGTGAGTGGATGAATGGATGAATAAAAAAGCT